ACTTTAATTATTAGTATTGACGGATATAAATAGGCTTATTATGTTTAGGATTAGGATGATGCATGAGATTAAACTGTGCATCTTAGGTTTAGGGTTTGGGAGAGAGGTTTGGGAGAGATTTTAGATTTTCTACCTCTCAAATTGTAGAAATTGGGAGAGATCGCCTACCTCTTGAATTGTAGGTGCTAATCTTTTGTATTATTGTGGAGTTGTTTGGATTATTCAAGAAATATTGTGTTTGCCCTAACTTCTGAAAAATCGTGTCAATTTTGATTGTGGATTGTATCAGATATCAATGACTATAAATAAAATTTTTATAAGTGTTTAATTATGAGATGTAGGGTTACAAATTACTAATTAATTATTAATATCATTAATTTATAGTTAATTAATGTCACAAAAATTCTAGTAATGCTTATTTATGATTTAAACTGCTATAATTAAACATTTATTAAAGTTTAATTTATATTATTAAATATGTATAATAAATCAAAATATTAACTAACATGGCTAGTTATTTGTTCATAATGGTAAGCTTTAAATAAGATTTAATTAAGATAATTAGTACTTAAATAAATAGAGTGTGAAATAAGTAGACTTAATTATGATGATCACATGCATAAATCCTCTCATGAGGATCAATATTTCTACTGCATAAATGTCTACTAGAAGGTGAGAATTGTTGGCTTCATGGGCGGCACATTTGTTTAACTAACAAAGCCAAAAAGATCATCATCTTCAATGGAGGAAATAGTGGATTGTGAAACAGTGTGATGCCTCCACATGAGTGTTCTCAAGGTGATGGCCTTCAATTTACACTGGTTTGCACTGGGCTGAGGCGAAAAAAAGCATCAAGAGCATCAGAAAGTGGCAATCTCGTTTGAAAGGAATCCCAAAGAAGGTGTAGGAATTTAAATATGCATCCTCGATTTCTCAAATATGTTATGTTGAATAAAATGAGGAGAGGCTGATGCCTGATTTTGTAATACTAGATTTTTCGAGTAGGTCATTACTTGAGATGGGAGAAAGTAAGGCTCATGTTTCACATATCATGTCAGTTAGTCATAAAGTAGTAACAGAAGTGAAAAGGCTTTCCCAAAAATGACCACAAAACTATTGCATGACGATAATAATCACAAGTTTGTAAGAGTCCTTTAAGTTATGTGGTTCAGAACAATCAATCCCTTCAAGCAAACTAAACTGGATACCCTTCATCTTTAATATGTATGCTAGACAAAAAAGAAAATTAAAAAAAAACCTTTTGGTACAAGGCAGTTTGATTTTTCAGCCAATAACAGGTTTAAGTTCCAAGGCACCTCATACCATCCTGCCTTTGGAAAAATAGAAGGATAACTAGAAGCCTTAGGCTTTAAGAATAATATTGTAGAATATCTGCACAAGGACATTAGATGTCTTTGAGATTGGTGTTGCAAATGATCTAGTTTGGATGATTGTAGTAATCTTAATGAAGCCTAGTGTTGATTTGCTTAGGTTTAAACCGACCGTGTAGATTCAAAAGAACCATAGTTATCTCCGAATAGCATTATACATAGATTGCAAAAGCACTAAATTTGGTATTCTTAATCGAACAATTGTAATTCACCTCAAACCATTAATTTTTTAAGTGCCTATCAATTATATTCACTTAGCACAACAAAGTAAAGCCTCTTGATCCCCTTTTGCTTGCCTTATTAAATTTATTCATTTTTTGCGTCCGTACAACCAAAGAACCTAGTACAATATACAAATTACGTAAACTATAAGCATGTCTTTGTTCACAATCATTTATATCATTCATTCAGATTCTATGTATTGCTTATTATTATGGCTCTTAACTATATTAGCATTGTTTGAGAATATATTTTCTCTTAATTGGATTTTGAACCTTCAAATCCCGCACTCTAGAGCTGCTTTAGTTAACAGTAGTTTACTGCATATAACATTCACTTCTTTTGATTAACTTTTATATCCATCCTAAAGCATATGTGGATGCTTTCTTCAAGATTTGCCTGAAAGCCTTCATGAATTCTCCTTACATCCTAGAAGAAATAAATTATATATATAGCCCATGCGCGTTCCGTGGCCTGTTGGAAGAGCAGCATTTTTGAAGAGCGTAAGTCCCCTCAAGGCCCGGGTTCAAATGCCCTGGTGTCACAGTGTCGCCTTAAGCCATATGGTACTCGAATTATTTGCACACCGGGTCGCCCCCAGACCTAGCGGTAGTTGAGCCCATAGGATGGGTTGGGGACCTTTGCCCCAGCCCATTCTTTATATATA